ATTAGAGTAAGGGGGAGTAATTTATTTTCAAAGTATTAGAGTAAGGTATCAAAGTATTAGAGTAAGGGGGAATAATTTCAAAACTTGATTTCAAAAAAAAATGTTTTTCAATTAGAAAATCCTAAAATTACTAAAATGTTTTGTTATATCAAAAAGGGGGAGATTGTTGAAAACATTTTGATGTTTCGATATAACAAATTAAATGTTATTAGATTTCAAGATTTTCTAATCATTTTCAAATATATATTCAATTAAACTATTCGAATATCAAAATATTACTCCAAGTTTTTCAAATGTCAATTTCAATCCTTACTCAAGTGTAAAAGTGTGTTTTAATCTTTTAAACAATTTTACAAAGTATTTCGAGCCTTAATCGAGCCAAAAATATTTTCTTAATATATCTTAAACCGAAAAACCAGATTGCCCAGAAGGTACCGATACTGCCCCCAAGAGGGTACCGATACCCCTATGTAATATTTGGCTCCAAGAAATAACAGATTGCTCGGAGGGTACCGATACCCCCAGGAGGTACCGATACCCTATGCAGGGGTACCGATACCCCCAACGCTCCAAGCTGTTTTATTAATTGTTTTCACACAATAACGGCTCTATTGACTCCACTAATGATCCCCAACGTTCAGAAGTGATTCAAGGAGTATTTAAACAAGATTAGGAGCCATTGATCAACAACAATTATCAAGAATCAAGAGAGAATCAAAGAGAAAACATCAAACTCAAGTTTGAGCATTTTCAAGCCTATTTCATTCAATATCCATTTTTTCTTTCAAGAACACTTATTGTGCTCAATTGTATTATTCTTGAGTGTTCTTTCTTTGTTCTAGAATTGTGCAAACATCTTTCCTTGTGAGGATTTTCTTGTAAGTTTGCAAAATTTGTATTGTTCTCTTTGGGAGAGAGTGTTCTCAAGAATTTGGGGTATAATTCTTGAGGGATTTGTAAGGTTACTCTTTGTCCTCAAAAGAAAGACAAATTAGTGAATTTGTGGAAAATCCTTAGTGTGGATAGCTAAGGTAGTGGACGTAGACTTTGGTTAAGAAAGTTGAAGCACTCTAAATCGCTGTGCAAATATTTTCAATTTTCTGCAAAAGCTTCCACCGAAATTTTTATTGCCAATTCACCCCCCTCTTGGCCTATTCTATCGATCGATTAACTCAATAAATTTGAAAGCTAAATTAATGATTATTTTGCAGCAATGTTGAAATGAAAATATTGTGGATGGAATCTATAGTTGGAACTCGCAAACTTGACCCGAACCCGATTACCCCAACTGATTTACCTGACCCAATACCCGATAGTAACCCGAATATGCTAATCAAATTTGATCCGATACCCTACCCATACCCAACCCGAACCATACCCAATCGAAAATTTAGCGAAAATGAAAGCACCCCAAATCGAAATTAACCTAAACCGAAACTGAAATTAACAAACCAAAAGCAACCCGGACCAAAACTAACTCGAACCGAAAGAAACCCGAAGTGAATTTTAACCCAAACTGAGAGAAACCTAAACTGAATTTTAACCCGATCCAAAAGTAACCTGAATCGAATTTAACTCGACCCGAAAACAACCTAAACAAAAATTAATCTGAACCGAAAGTAACCCAAACCGAAAGCAAACCGACTTTAATTTACCCAATTTGATTTGAACCGAACATTGCCCTATTTTTTACTTGATAAATGAATAAAAATGGACGAGTGATTTATTGTTATTATATATATTTTAACAATGTGATGGATAGTAAAATAATATATATTTTATTCTATTTTTTAATTATACTCCTAGTTAGCCACCAACTTTGGTAATAGTTTAATGAATACCAGTATCACCTTTGATAATAGTTTAATGATTTAATATTAATTTTTAGTTTAAAAAATTATATTCATATTTGATTCGATAATTTTTAAAAACAATTAAAAAATTATTTGAATGAAGAATTATAAATAAAGTTATTATTTAGTATTTTGTTTTATATGATTAACATTAATTGTCATCATTTATATAGTATAATCAATACTGTATATTTTAATTAACTTTAAAAGAAAGAAAAATCATTTTTTTATATACACAAATTAACATGAAACACAAATCTCAAATAAAGAATTCTCATTCAAAGAATCAAAAGTGACATGTAGCTACTACTCTTGCACATCAAACTTAATTATATTGAGTTTCTCAATAAAACTTTCTTAATAAACTTAAAAGATCAATAAAATAGTTTGAAAGAATCAAATTCAACCCTCTTAAATCTTAAAATATAAGGAGACATAAATATTATATCCATCAATTGTTGAATTAAATCCAATCCACATCAGAACCGACAAACTCATCTTCCTTCGTAGCTACATAAATTAAAATAATAAGTTATTAATTTGTTTACCAAAATAAAAAAATGAAATATATTAATAATAATAAAAAAAGATGGTGTGGTAAACAAACTTTACTATAAGAAATTGAAAGAAATCTAAACGAAAATAAAAACTTACATTCATAATTGAATAACCAACTACGAGACGTTATCAAAGTTGTAAGAGGTATAAGAAATATCCCTATACTAAAATTTAACGTTGGGATGTAAGAACTTCTCCACTTATTCAAAATTCAACCTCTTATACTAAAAGTTGGTTTTGAAGCAACAATTGTAAGAGGTACAATCAAAATATCTCTAACAAGATGAGAAAGTTGTCCATATCGATTCTTATTTTCTTTCCAAAAATTAAGGATGTCAAGCTCTGTTTTTCTATCAAATTTGGGGTCGTCTAAGTAAACATCTAATTGTGTCTTGGCACAATAAAAAAACATGGCCTCTTTCTTGTCATAATACTATAAAAATATAAAAAATAATATAACTTGTATTATATAAATTATAAAAAAAAGATAGTAAAAATGAAATACATTAAATGAAAAATAGAAAATAAAAAAATAAAAAAATTAAAAATATAAGAAAGTTGATGCAAAAAGGTCGAATTTGCGCTTGTGGTGTGTAAATGACATGCTCAAAGTATATGCGTTCAAGTTCAATTCTAAGGACGGTTCATGTGAGATGTGTATTTCTGAAACATATTCTTTAAAAAACATCTCTAACTTGGCTAACGCTACAACGCCTTTAACGTAATCGTCATCGCGGCCGCCGCAGGGGAAGAACATAGTGGGAGTGAAGGCGAACTCTCGTCAATTATTTTTTAAAATATTAATTACTATTAAAATATATATTTTTAAAAATAAAATATTGCTAGATCTTTAATTAAAAATTTATATTTATAAAAAATAAAAATACTTTAACTTAGCTATAATAAATTCCTAGTTTCCGCCCCCGCATTGTCGGCCATGAATGTGGCGTTAGCTTTGTCTCGTTGCTCCCTTTGAAAAGACGGTTTGTTGTACGCCGGTTTCAACGAGTTCAAGAGCCATTCAAAATTGTTGAATTTCTTTTCTTCCTGTTTTTAACTTTGACCCGCCAAGGGGAGCGTTGCTGGGGATAAGCATGTAATCGAACTAAATGCATTTGAATAGAGGAATGTTCATGTTCGTTCATTTAATAAATAAACGAACATAAACGAACACGAACATAAATGAACAAAATTTTATTTTTCATGTTCGTTCATTAAGAAATACAGTTTGTTCATGTTCGTTCATTTAAATGATAAACGAACATAAACAAACGTAAACAAACACAAACGAACGAACATAAACGAATATAATAAATGAACATAAACGAACAACACAAACACAAAAAACAAACTTATTCGAACACAACAAATGAATGTAAAAAGAAGTAAACAACAAGAATAACAACTTAAAATTAATTAATATAACCTATAACTTTAGAGTTAATTTGTTTCGAATACGGCAAAAACATACATAAATCATAAATAAACTATACGAACATAATAAAGTCTTAAAGTTAATTTGTTCAACAAAACAATCTTCTTGAAATCCAAACAACTTCAATAATCTTCGTAACATATTCAACTTGTCATATGTTCGAACATAAATGAACATAAATGAACGAACATAAGCGAACATATAATCGAACGTTCACGAACGTAAATAAACGAACGAGCCCTTTGTTCGTGTTCGTTCATTTAATTAAACGAATGCAAAATCTTGTTTATGTTCGTTCATTTAATAAATAAACGAGCATAAACAAACTTCCCGCCGCATAGTTCATGAACGGTTCGCTTAACGTTCAATTCATTTACGGGCCTGGATATGAATTTGCTAAATATTAAGAAAACAGAAACTGCTTTGGTTCTGCGCTCATCGTTTTCCTTGATTTTTTTATCGATGATACAAAGTGTCTAGTGTGATATTTTGAAAAAAAAAACATTTGGGGTGACCAAAACATAACAATGAAAATAATTGAGTGACTAAGTATATAATTTATTATTATAATTTTTTTAACGGAATTAATGATTTAAACTTTATGATAAAACGTCTCAAAAAATATTTTAAAAGACATCTCGATATAACTTAAGGAATAATAGCATATTTAAGGCTAGATAAAAATAAAGGGAAAATTATGCATTTAGTACCTAAACTATCAGTTTTGACCCGTTTTAATACCTAAACTTTCAATTTTTTAAAATTATACTTGAACTTTAGTTTTTGTTTCATTTTAGTACATCTGTTCAAAATTTAACGTTAAGTTTTGAAAAAAATTTAAAAGTTTAGGTATTAAAATGAAACAAAACTGATAATTTAGGTACTTAATGCGTTATATTTTTAACGGTGGGATACTAAAATGAAACAAAAACTAAACATTATGTATACTCTTAAAAAAATTGAAAGTAAAAATGTTAAAATAGATAAAAAATTAATAATTTAAATACTAAACGCGTAATTTATACTAGAATAAAACTTGTATCCGGGCAAAGCCGCCCTAACGGGCATCCATGGGTTCAACAATAAGCAGGCCCAACTCTCCCCCCTCCAAACTACACGGAAAACCCTCGGAAAGAAAGGCTAAAACCCCACATTCTCATCCCAAATGAGAGAGCTTAGAGCTAAAAGCTTCAATGGCGGCCAAGAATCAACAAACGCACAAATCCAACAAGAGAAAGCAAATTTCAAGCTCAAACACCGACCGAGATAGCTCGAAATCCAAGAAGCCGAAGCTACATGCTTCCTTCCCTTCAAACAAGCCGTTGAAAAAACCTTTCAACTCGTCCAAACAAAAACACGAACACCCAAGTCATTCCAAGTTTAAGAAACCGGAATATGGGAGTGAAAATAAAGAGCTTTCTAAGAGAGAGCGTCGAATCCAAGCAAAGGTCATTCGACTTTTTCTCCCCGTGTTTTTCGTTAAAAATCGAAGGCAACCGATTTTTTTGTTTGTTTGCTATTTAATGTTTGTTGTTTTATCGGTTTTGATAGGAATTGGCAGAAGCTAGAAAGAAGAAGAGGAAACCGCATTATACTCTTGAACAAGTAAATTCTGTGTCTTTTCTTTTTTATTTAGGGTGTGATCGAGTTGAGCTGAGTTTAAGCTTATTTAGTAAGCTCGACTTGAATTCGAGGCTGGAGCTGAGTTGGATTTGTAAATCTCAAACTCCATTGGAGAAAATGTTGAATTGCTTGAGCTGGCGCGTTTAGGTTCTTTTACTTGGTAAAAGACGAGCTCAACTCTCATGCTTGATTTCAATCTTGGTCATTCGTACTCAACTCAAGCATGAGTATTAGTTTGAGTTTGAATTGAAGTTTTTCAAAGAAAAAAAAACATATTACTCCCGTGCTTGAATCAAGTATTATGACATTTGAATTCAATTATTTAGATACTCAAACTGCTTTGTGTTGGAGCTCACTCAACTCAAGAATGACTGAGCCGAAATATATTTTTTTTAACCCAAAACAGCGTATGAGCATAAACATCGCTCTTAAACCCCCATTTAATACAAAGATTTTTTTAATTGAACTATTTATGATTTGATTAGAACTTATTTGATGGCTGACTGAAATTTTGGCAATTAACATTTTTTTGTCTAATTCAAATTTTTGTTCTTTTACTTGCATTAGGAGCTTGCATCTCTATGGGAAAAGATGAGACGTCGGAATATTGCTAAAGAAGACAGATCAAAGTATGTATTCGAGAACAAATATAATGCTTTGTGATTCAACATGGCTTTTCTTGGCCTTAAATTTTATTTGAATTGTTCTTAGGCTGATAACTGAAGCTCTGCAAAAGATGAAGGGAAAGATCCCAGAAATTGCTGGTTCCCATGTTTCGTCTCGTGTTCTGCAGGTGGGTTTTTTTTGGCCTTTCATTAAGGTTCGAATTAATTCCACTGCAATAGGCTATGGTTGTCTAACCCATTTTTTGTTTGGCCTTAGACCTGTGTTAAACACTGCTTGCAAACAGAAAGAGATGCTGTATTTTCTGAGCTTCAGCCACACATTCTCACCCTCTCGTGCAATGCCTATGCTGTGCATCTTGTGAAGAAAATGTTAGATGCGGGTATACTTATGTTACTTCTAGGACTAGTTTGTATAATTATCTTGTAGGTGATGCTGATCCTATTGTTATCATAGCCTTACATTACAATTAAATGCATGCAGCATCTAAAAAGCAGCTGGCAGGGGTTATATCATCTCTCCGTGGGCATGTTGCTTCGCTTCTTCGGCACATGGTTGGATCTGTAGGTAAGATAGAGTTTATTTTTTCTCACCTAAATTTGTCAAAAAAATTTAATGTTGCATTTACTTTGAACATGTGTCTTATCTAAGTTGCCCAAACTTTATATTTCTTGAAGTTCCTATGTCTTGTATGCCAACATTGGTATGAGGATACTCTCTAATTTGAAAAACTTATAAAAGATTGAACTACCTGTGTAGGAAACATAATTGTAATCCAACACTCACGCCTGAGTTTGAGTAGCATAGGTCTGATGCATGTACCGACATGAGTATGGGGTGACTTTGTAATGATCCTCCAAATACTGAAAAACTTGAAAAAAATACCTGTACTAGAAACATACTCATATCCGGCACTCTTACCTGAGTCCGAGTAATGTATGTCTTAAGTTTACTTAATTATTTTATGTGCACGTGTTTTGTATTAAATTGAGTGATAAAACTGGTTTAATTTTCGTTTGGAGGATTTCACTGTAGGTTTTGAGAAGTAAATCTGTTCTGAAGCCTTGCTAACATCCAATATCCTCGCTTACCTTCTGCAGTTATTGAGCATGCATATCAACTTGGAAATGCCTCTCAAAAACAAGAGCTTCTGATGGAATTATTTTCTACTGAGCTTCATCTGTTTAAGGACCTCACATCCATCAAAGAAAGCAGGTAGAACTTACATAATTTTTTACTTTCTAGCCATGATTGTCGTACTCTAAAAAGTTCTAAAGAACTGAAAACTTATAACGGAGGTTGATGGGCTGTCATTAAATTTTGTGATGTTATTCCTTTCACACCTTTGTTGGTAGATTGTCAGATATATGTGGTTCCACAGTGATATCCTACTTCTACAGCAAGTCGAGAACATATTTTGACAAAAAATTCTGATCTCATGTCAGGTTAATAGATGTAATATCGAAATTGGGCTTGCAGAAGTCTTCTGTTTTGCGACACATGAGTTCAGTGATTCAACCAATCCTTGAAAAAGGAATAGTGGATCACTCAATTATACACAGGGTATTAGTAGAGTATTTGAGCATAGCTGATCAGGTATTTATGATCTTAACACATTATTGGAACATTCTCTAAAGAAATTTCTGTCCATAGCGCTGTTTTTTCCATGTGATTTCTCTTACTAAATTTAGTTTGTCTATAGTCCTCTGCTGCGGATATAATTCAACAACTGTCTGGTCCACTCCTAGTTCGTATGATCCATACCCGGGAGGGATCTAAGATTGGGATGCTCTGTGTTAAACATGGAAGTGCTAAGGTTTGTTGTAGTCGGTTGTATGAGTTCCATAAAACCTTATTCATAAGGATACCCTTTTCTAGAAAGACTTAAGATCCTTTTTGTGTTTCATTTTAGGAAAGAAAGAAAATCATCAAAGGAATGAAAGGCCATATAAGCAAGATAACACATGATCATTGCGGGTGCATGGTATGGGTTGTTTATGGAAATCTATCTGCTTGATTTTCTTTTGTTAGAAATGCTAAATTGGAAGTCTTTTTATACTACTTATTTTAACCTTAACTTCTACAAATAGGAGTGTATATACATTTGGTTTGGTTGAAAAAACCAAAAATCAAATTAACCTACTTCCTATAAATAATAACCGAAAACCGGTCTGGCTTAAGGAAAAACCGAAATAACTGAACTAACTTAAGTTAATCGGTTTGATTGGTTAATTGAATTAACTGAAAATAAATGAGCTAAGCTACCCTTTCTATAATTAATATATATTTAAGAAATTAAGACTCATATTTTAATTATATTTGATTAAAAAGTTATAATCATTGGAGAAATGTAATCAATTTACTATTGTAATGTTTGTCCACATATATATTCTATTATAAATATATTTAAAAATATATACAGGTATAATGTTTTTATATTAAGCCATTAATTCAGTCAGTTTGACTATCGATTATATAAACCGATAATGGACCAAATTAACATATTTAAACCGACTCCTATAACTGACCTAAATCAAAACCGAATTAACCAAACCAAATGAATCAACTTGTATAGGTTAATTCAGTTAACTCAATTTTCACGAGTTTTGCACATTCCTATGTCTTAATTGTAATTGGCTCTTGATAAATTCAACTACGGCACTACTAACATTACGAGTGTATGTCATGAGGCCTTTCTTTAAGATTTAAAACGCTAAAGCCTTTTGTCTCTGATTTCCATTTTATTAGGTTCTCGTGGGCATTGTTTCAATGGTTGATGACACTAAGCTTCTAACTAAGGTTAGCTTCTGCTATGTCGCCTTTCGTTACTACATCTCTATGTAATGTAATATTGATTTACTGTAGTGTCTGACTTTAATATTCTGTTTTCAGTTCATCATCCGTGAGCTCCAAGCAACATTGAAAGAGATTGCTGTGGACAAGGTGTCTACTCTTTCTAAACCTGTTATCTTAACAACAGATGCTTAAGAAGATATCTTGGTCAGGCAATAATGATGGGTTCTTGACCTCTAAAACAAATAAAAGAATTATTTATATTTATACCCTCATTATCTGAACTATCCGGAGGGTCCTTAAAATCGAAACTGATAAATTCAGGAGTTGGTCAACTCAGCTTGGGCCGTGTAAATGTTCATATTTTACAGTTATTTTAGAATGTCCGTGGAATGGTTTGTATCCCTGAAGTTGCGTCATTTGTTGGATCTGACATTAATTCAGTTTTTAGTACTGTGTTCCTTATGGGTTTCTGCTTGCATTTTGTGAATTTCAGAGTGGAAGGCGCTTGTTGTTGCAGCTGCTTCATCCAAATTGTTCACGCTATTTTAATTCCGATGGCCTGGCCTTTCTAAATTTATCTGTTCCGTCGCTCAGTGCTAAGGTAGTTTAATAGATGTGATATTTTGTTCATTTATCATAGACTGCGAACCTTTCCTGAAATTTACAATGGGTTTTCACTTTCTCAGAATGATTCCGAAGTCAGATCTGAGAAAAATTTCAAGGGATAAAGAATCTAGTAAGGAGGCATCTAAGAGTGATATTCCTGAAGAGAACCTTGATGAAGAACCTACAAAGGAGACAGCTACATCCGATCCTGATATGACACAATCCGAGTCCGGTAAAAGTGATATTCCTGAAGAGAACCTCTTCTCAGCTGAAGGTGGGAAGAAGGATCCTTCGCTAAGGAGGAGAGAGTTGCTAGTCAAGAGTGGGCTCGCTGAGGTTCGTTGGCCCCTCTTGCCCATTAGGGGGTGATATGTCCTTATTTGTGTTTCTAAAGGAAAATCTTTTGTTGGTCCTTTCACTGAAGATATCAAAATCTTTCTGGTTAACTTTTGTGATGCTCGGTTTTACAGAACCTTGTTGATGTTTGCATAGAGGACGCAGGAGAATTGCTTACTTCAAATTTTGGCAAAGAAGTAATTTTTGAGGTAATCAATTTTGTTCTTAATGGAGTTTGTACTCTTTTAATAAAGTCCAGAAGTAGGTTAAGTTAGAAGCCTGGAACTTTGTCGATAACTGAACAGTTATATCTTCTATAACGTGTTAACTTTATAACTGAATATTTTCGCTTGAACATTAGGACATGCGCTCCATCCAAATCTGAGTTTTGTTTTGTCTTTTATTGAACCATTTTCAATCCCCAATCTCTTGATTTAATCACCCTGGCATATGTTGGAAACAATGCACAGGTTGCAATGGGTGGTTCTGATGGAATTCTCCACCCAACACTAGATCAAAAATTGAATAACTTGCATGAAACTATAGCTGCACTTGCAGCGAAGCCTAAATCTGAAGAATCAGAGGAAGAACATGTGCTCGAAAACTTCCATTCCAGTCGCACCATACGGAAACTAATATTAGACTGCCCTGCATTTGCTTCCACATTATGGAAGAAATCTCTGGAAGGGAAGTGTCAATTATGGGCCCAAGGTCACAGGTTAGCTGCTTTGTTTCGACTTTGTAAAGCTTCTTTCACATTCAAAGCATAAACATCCACTTGATCTCTGGCATTACATATTTTGATATCGTCCCCATTGCCCTATTTGCAGTTCAAAGATACTGTCTGCATATTGGGAATCCTTGGACTCCGAGGTCCGTAAAATGGCGGAAGAAGAGTTGAAGCCCTTGATTGATGGTGGCATTCTCAGAATCCATGAAAATAAACAACCGGAAAACGAGGATTAGGTTGATCAATATCTTGATCGTCAAACACCTGTTGCTGGTCGGACTGCCGATAATACTGGGTGAATGAATTTATGAAATATACAGGGGAGTTTTCTTAACTGAAATAGGGTTAAGGAATTTCAGGTAGTACTATACGTTTTGAATTTTTGGTTTTCATCTTTAACGCATGAACTTATGAGCTAAAACTTTGTTTCATGTTTGTTCTTCCATTCTACGAAAATGTAAAGCAAACTCATGATTTAGTCTGGTATTGAAAATTAAATTGGGGACGAATCGGATGTGTTTCATTTATTTTTGAAAAATAAAAATAAAATATGAATTAAAAACTCATAAAAAGAAAAAAAAAAAACATTTACAATAGTTGATAAGAATATACTGGATTGTTATATTATTTTGTTTGATTTTGATAAGAATATTAGAATGTATTATTTAATTGGAGAAATAGAAATTCTTTATAAGCAAAATTTATCGATTATTATTATCATATATTTTTATTAAGTGTTTTTTTTAAAGAAAACGAGCCTCCTTAAGAACTCTTTTAAGACCTATAAAGGAAAAATAGTGTCCTATGATCTTGTATTTTCAGAATAAAAATTATTGGATACAACAAACATAATAATTTTAGGGATAAATAAAGTCAGAATACAAGATATTTCCAAAAAGGAGAGCTCACTTAGTCAAAGTATATGCCACAATATTACAAGCTCTAGGAAATTTAAAATAGCATTCAAAATCCAATGAGCTTCCCAAAGATGATAACCCAACGTGGACAAGTCCTCCTTCGGTCAAGACATCTTGTTGACTACAAGCGTTGAATCCAATTCAAAGATTACATGTGTCCACCGATACTCACTTGCCAAAGAAAGTGTTACATTCAGAGCACGAATTTCCGAAAGCCCAACTTCGACAGAACCTGGTGACGACGCAGCCATGACGCCTAGTACTTGGCCAACGACAACTTGGGCAATAACCTCCACAATCGTTATACGCCCAGTAGACTTAAAAACATCATCCAAATTGATCTTCCCATAACTTGGAGGGGAGGTTGCCACTTTGCCTAATCAATACATGAAGTTGTTTCTGAAGAAGACCGCACAATCCTCGTTCTCCACGATGCCTGCTTCTTGATGTGGACACCAATTTTCGTCCATATATAACATATATATATATATATATATATATATATATATATATTCTACTTAAATAATACAATTTTTCCCTTTTACAGATCCAAGCCCACAATCCAAGTACAAACAACCCTATAGTGGCTCAGTAGAAGCCAAAACCCAGTCCAGGACCTGAACCAGTCCACTGGAGTAACCCGGGCAACTCGAACCAGTTAGGGTTTTAAAACCCTAACCCTTCATTTCATTCCAACCATTCCTCACCCATCTCCTCAAATGCCGCCACCGATTCCTCACGCATCTCCTCAAGTGCCCTCACCGATTCCTCACGCAACCAACGACCAACCCCGATTTTTTCGGTGCACCAACAAGTAAAAAAACATACTAGTGTTAGAGTCCCATTAGGAGTCTTCAGATCTAAAAATAGCATTTCTCCTAGGAAATAAATTTACATGTAAATAAACACATCAACACACACAATATTACACAATAAAGGCACAAAAATTACGAAGCAAATACAAGAGTATTCGAAGCATTTTGTAACAATTTCGAAAAGCAATAAAAGATAAAAATCTCACATTTTTTCGGTCAATGCTTGCATGTAGGAGTTGTGTTTGTTTTCCATCGTTTTGGTTCGAAAAAAGATTTCGAAATTTCTTTTCTAGATCTACACTCCCCCGAGGCTCGTTTTCAAAAACCGTTTTGATTTTTAAAAGATAGAGGAAAAAATGTTTCAAAAAATAAAAAAAAAATTTGGTCACCGATGAATGGAGGCCGGCGAGACGGCGAGCCACCGGTTTCTGAAAACCACAGTGGCTGTTCTTCGTGTTCATGAAGAACACAAGAACATTTGAGAGAAAAAAAGGGGAGGGTTTTTATCCATTTTTGATCGAATGAAAAAAATAAAAAAGTGTTTATGAAAGTTGGTATTTATACCAACCCACGACCCGACCCATGGGCCTAAAGGGATCAACGTGTTTTCTTTAAGAAAGGAGAATTACAATTTTGGTCTCCCCCGTTTTTGGAACTTTCATTTCGCTCCTAATTTGCAATTTCAACATTAATTTTCTTTCAAAATTAGCCCTTTAATTTTGAGTTTCTTCGAAATTAGCCCTTTTTTTTATTTATTATTATTATATTTTTCATATTTTTTTATTATATATATATATATAATTTTTATTTTATATTATTTTTTTTCTTTTGGACTTTTTTATTTATTATTTTTATATATCATTTTCTGGTTTTTATTTATTTTATTTTATTTTAAAGTATTTTATTTATGTATATATATATATATATTATTTATATTTATGTATTTATTTGTTTTATTAATATTCTAATATATATATATATATATATATATTCATTTTTTACCTTATTTTATTATTATCATTAAATATACTTTTTTTTTTTATTTTTTTTTAATTTTTTTTAATTTTTATCTTTATTTTATTTATCTTGTTTAGCTTTCTTTCATTTTTATTATCTTTATCTTTATTTTATTTATTTTATATATATTATTTTTACTTTTTTTCCATTTTCCATTTTCCCATTTTATTTTTTTCTTTATTTTCTTTATTTTTATTTTCTTTATTTTTATTTTCTTTATATATATATATATATTTATTTTTTTATCTTTATAGTATTCGTCTTATTTATCTTTATTTTCTTTATTTTTATCTTATTTATTTTCTTTATTTCATTTTCTTTATTTTTTCCTATCTAACGCTTTTCATGACTTCTTAAGGGTACACTTTTAAAACCGATCGGAGGTAAGTAATCTAGATCAAATTTTTACCTTTTAATTTAAACTTACAATTTTCTTAATTAAAGACAACTGGGAATTAACTAGTACCGAAAGGGCAGTTCAAGGGTGCTAACCCTTCCTTGACTGTAACTGACTCCCGAATCCGACATATCGCTGGTAAGATGCAGATCAGGTAAGAAATTAGGGTGTACAATTAACCCGTTTTATTCTTAAAATAAATGATCGGACTCAAATCATTTCATTCAAGTCGAAGCCCAATTCTGGGCCCACCCAAAAGACGACCACGACAGGTTGGCGACTCCGCTAGGGACAAGCAAGTGAGTCAGGCTAAGGTTAATTTCTAGTTGTCTTTTTAATAAAAAAGGTAAGTTTAAATTTTAAGGTAACCTTTCGATCCTTATTACTTTTGAATATATTTTGAAATAAATAGCCGTACTGACGATTTCTTTCAATGGTTTCTGTTTATCAAACTTGTTTTTCATCTAAGGCTTTATACCCGAGCTCCAAACCCTGTTTAAGTGGGGGTAAAAGTGACACCTTTGTGAGAATTTATTCTCTATGCGGGCCTAGTAAGTAGCATTCGGGATTCATATACCTTGTGTCTTCGTGTAAATTTATTCTCCGTATGGGCATAAGGGAATATATCCTCTCGAGTTTAAACTAGTCCACATAAGCTTGTAATGGGCTTAGGACTAAGGGTCTGGCAAGCCCAAGGGGGCACCAACAAGGAGAACTCGGGTACCTTCTTTAGAACCTAAACCGGGAGACTACAGGGTATTAGAGCCCACCCCAAAACCTCATTTCAAACCCTAGACTACTTTGAGATTATTTCCTGCTCTATTTTCTGTTCAAAGCATGTGAACTAGAAATTTATGCGGTTAAGACTGGTTCAAAATTAACATGTGGGATAGAGATCATGTCCGAGTAGGAATAATAAGCATGTGGGGTAGATATCATATGGGGTAGGACATTTTATTTTCTTTATTGTTTTGATTTACCTCACTGTCTCTTTTCATTTTTTGTTCTCTTTCATTTTTATCATTTACATTATTCAAAAAAGGTGTTGATCTACAAAAAACTTGTTCGTTAAACATAAATAATTTACATTAACGGAAAAAGGAGTTATAATACAAGAGATGAAAAACTCAGAAGTCCAGCTATGGTCAGAGAATACTCAGAATGGACCGGGATTTACACTGTGCACATTAAAAGTCAACTTTTTGAGCTGGCAAGGGTTGCAAGGGCAAGACAAGAAAAAAAGTTATTGACCTGGAGTGCTACTTCAAAGACAACATGCCATTGTTGACAAATCCAAGAAGCAAACAAGTGAGTTTTAGATAGTTCCCTTCAATGGAGGTTTCCAAAGGCACTTTTGTTGAGGGAAGACTCAACAGAGAGTGAAAACCAGAGATGCAGCCATTTGAGACTTCTTGGGACAAGTACAAAAAGTAGCTCGTCACCTGCACGGTTTAGCCAGAGGAGCCGGAACGGTTCGACAGTGTATTCAACCGGTGACAGAAAAAGGCAAAAGATGAATCAACCTGTCAGAAGTTGTTTGGGGTCTAGAAGAATTTATCTTTAAAATGTTTTTGTCTCTTAAGAAATAACAATTTTGTCCCCAATAAGGATTATATATAATAACAGACACATTTTTGGATCAATGCCTCGAACATTTCATGCATCATGCATTCTTGCATTTTTCGCATTATTTTTTTTCTTTTTTCATTACATTCATATTAACTAACAAGAGATGTCTCATAAAAGAATGGAACAAACACCAGGTTTACCTCCAGAAGCTTCAGACCCATGTCATCCTCACAACACCCGCACAAAGGAAAATGGAAGCCAAAATTGCTCAACTTGAAGAGAACATGCTAAGATTACAGAAGGAACTGGAAGAAAAAATAAGTCAAAATCAACAAAATACATTGGATTCCATCACTAGGAACTAAAACGTTTTGGTTGACCAAATTATTTCAAGGTTGTCTGGCTTGAATCAAAAGAATGCTCCTAGGGCATGGGCATCTGAGAGAGTAATTGTACCGTCTACTCCGTAGTTGGAAATTTCACTTGGAGTCTTACCAAGACTTTAAAATAATTCAGATGGTTACCGCATTCCAAAATTTAGTGAAGAAGTCAAAACAAAGATGGTAGAAACGACCATTAAACAAGGAGGTAGGTCGAGTAGAAAACCTCCTCTGAAGAACAAAGATAGAGAGATCAAAAATGTCAACACCTACAATGATAAAAAAGGTGTTACGATCTCAAGCATGAAAACAACTGCTGCTGTACCGTCAGCTACTTCTAAACAAAATCAGAGGGAACCAAGAAAAGAAAAGGAGCATTTGGATCCCATCCCCATGACATATAAGGAGCTTTAT